GTCCACCTTTGTGGTTCTGGTGGCAAGACTGGGACTTAAAATGCAACTGATCAAATACAAATAGTCTCACTCTTATTTCTAAGCAATTTCATTTTCATATTCAGGATGTGTAAATACTTACAAAACATGTAGATTTGAGGTCAAACTTGACCTGACAATTTTAGCAATATTTAGGAAGTTTACCATCATTGCCAGGAACTACAGAGCTCAGATGATTGGCAACAGTATTATCTAACTTTAGAGCACTTTTTTATCTAGCCAGAGACTAATGTTAAGCTAGTACATTTAACATTTACATACTTTGGGTCTTTTCATCCATAGGTCATAAACCCCTTTATGAAAGTGGCAAGTAGTCTCACTCTGATGTTTACCTAAATGGAAACTGAGATGCAGAGCAGCTAAAGGCCAGATCTAAGTGTGGCAGTGTGTCCTTTCTAAGGGTGGCCGTGATGCCCCTGGAGTCCCTGCAGACTTCACTCTCTGGGAAATCATCCCTTTCAGTCACCTGCCACACATTGATATCTTACTTTGATATGAGGGAGGCTGCCCCAGGGCTTCCCAAGTTGCTCTCAAATGACCACCAGGTGACAGTGGTCACTGCCTTATGAGCTAATTGCATGGCTCCATTCCTCCCCTACACCATGCCCCATGCCTCACAGATGGCATCCTCATAGATGATCTCTTTCACTTAGCCCCACCCTTGCTGGCCCTACTTTCTTGGCCTCTCACTAGGTTCCTGGGACCCACACTCTCAGCCCCTCAATCTGGGCTCCAGACCCCTCTCTGGGTCCCTAGAAAGCCCCTTATCCCCTTAGTTCCTCCCCAAGCCTCCCTCCAGGTGTTACCTTCCATGTTGACCTTCTGGAGCTGCAGCCATCCTGCTGAGGTGGTGTTTTCTCAGCAGGCTCCACAAAATGCTACTGCTGGGTCATCTCGGGGCCTGGGCATATATCCTCCTCCTGGGTTGGGTGACTGCAATCAGCGCAAGCCATACCTGCAGGTTGCCCCAGCACCAGCCTGCCCGCTTCTTAAAGTGGCAGGAGCATCAAGCCTCCTGCAACACTAAGCATAGGAAGGATTTAGGTGCCTTAGCAACAACTTACATGGAATTTAGGAGTCAATCCAGAACTGCAATCTTGAAAACTCCTGTTTTAAAATTCCAAGTGCTGAGGGCTGTAGTCTTCACATGCTTGATCCATATCTAAGTTACCTGGACCTTTATGCTACATTAAACTGAGCTTCATTCCTTCAAGGAACTCCAAGCCAGTGGTCCCTGTATCCATAAAGAGTTACTCACAGGACTGATGGGGCAAAAAAATTTCATAACATTTCTGCAGATGTCTGCTCCTGGATTCTTCAGACACAAAAAAAGGCTTATTTTGGCATTTTGCCATCCGATCACAGCCAGAAACAGGAGGTTGGGCATAAGCATACATAAAAATGAAAACTAATGGAAAGAAATAGCTTTGAAGCTAAAAAAATGTTCACTTAGCGTTCTAAGTGAAAGTTCATGTGTTGGGTTTTAAAAATATCCCAAACTTGGCATATTTATTTGTAATGCCTGCCAGAGTCTACCAAAAACATGGCTGAACTTTGGTCTGCTGCACACCTAGTGGCGCATGAATCTGAGCAGAATTTTGCAAAATTCCATCCAGGATGAATTCACATGCGTGACTGTTTAATATGTAGATGCTAAACATAATTCCTGAACCCTCTGAAACTGGATAGTCCCTGCAGTATACAGGGGGACACTGGAATGGCTATGGCTATCCAACCCTCATTCACAAATAACTTACCTGCTTTCAGTGTATAGTTGATCCCACAGCCCTTTTCATAAGAGCTGGAGTTTCTGTGGTGGACTTAGCTAGATTCTCACCTCTGCTCTTACCCAGTCTGCTGGCCACGGGTACATTTCAGTGGTGCTTCAGGATCTTTCCTTAGGAAAGGTACATAAATGTGAAATACCACCGGTCCCTTATTTGGCCCCTTGTATTTTACCCACACTTCATTCATACACTGTCTTTCAAATCTTAGATGTGGTGGCATTTCCTTTGCTCTGGCAGGGGTGCTCCAATCATTGCTTGGTGGCATCTTGGTGGTCTCTTTGCATACTGTTACAACTGTCTTTTCCCATCTACTCTCTAGTACTTGATTGGCCTTTTTGACCCAAATCATTTTTTTAGCTTGATTTTTTGCTCCTTCCTGTGTCCTATCTATATATTAGCGGTGTTTCATTGTGATCATGGAAAAATGTGGATTTTGGGTTCATTTTCTTAATCCGAAAATTGGGGATTTTTTTTAATCAGAGAAAACCAGGATCCCTGGTAATCAAGTCTCTTAGAGTTGGAGTGGGAGCTTTAAGGAAGACATGGGATATTGTAAAAGAGGTGAGAGTTGGTCACACTACTGCATCCAGTATCCCATGGACCTGCCTTCTGCCCTTTGGACCAGCCCAGTGTCAGGATGGAAGACATGGGGGACTTCAGTAAGCACATCTTGGCAAAATACCACATCCCCACAAGAATCAGAAATGGCTGCAAATAAATACAAACATCAGAATTGGGCCTTTAAATGTGAAAAGGCACACTTCAAACCAAAGCTGAAACCCTGCAGCGCAGCAGTCCTCAATCGATGCTGGCAAATAGCGCAATAAATTTAGACTGACCACACATGCAAAGTAATTATCTCTCAATTAACTGGTGAATCGCACAATAAATTTAGTCCAGCCACACTGTGAAAAGTAATTATCACCAATAAAAATTACTATCCCGCTGTAACAAGAGCCAAGCAGCTATAAAGTTAGTGCTTAAAAATTATAACAATTCTATAGCTGGTTTCTAGACAGCTTTTAATTTGAACATGTACCAGGGCCCAGAGAGTCCCTACATATTTTCAAGCACTCACTGGTCAGCTCTTTTTATAGTTGGATAGTCCTTTTGATCCTGGGATAAATACTTTGCCCACCTTTGGCCAGTGTCAATTTATGGCACGATGAATTGTATGATATATCTAACATGTAGCAGGGGCTTTGGTTGCACAACTCCTAGTGCTAACATTGGGTGGCAGCCCATTGCGCCTTTAGGGGCCCTGCTATACATTCAAATCAAAGCTGGATAGAAATCAGCTATAGACTTGTTAAACACTTTCAAGCACTAATTTCATAGCTGGTTGGCTCTTTTTTAAAGTTGGATAGTCCTTTTGATGATGTGATGATTAGGGCCTTCCTAAAACTGGATAGAAACCAGCTATAACATTATTACACAGCTTCAAGCACTAACCTTACAGCTAGTTGACTCTTTTTATAGATGAATAGTCATTTTTGTGTGTTAATTACTTTGCCTGTTTAGCCAGTCTAAACTGATTGCATAATTCACCAGTTAGTTGCATAATATATATAACATGTTGCAGGGGCCTTATACCTTTGCACCTATGGCTAGTCTGCATTTATTGCATGATTCGCCAGTTCATTGTATGATCATTAGTTTGCATCTGTTGCTGGTCTACATTTATTGCGCGATTCACCCGTGCATTGAGTAAATGTAACATGTAACAGAGGCCTAAACTTTGCACCTCTGACTGACCTAAAGGTATTGTGCCATTCACCAGTTCCTGGTGTCATAGGTGACAACTTTTATTTTGCCAGGGGTCGGGCGATAAGATGATGGACGTGGAAAGTTTTACACATTTCAGGTGACAGCCTCTTCCCAAGGGGGGGCAGGGTTCTTAGGCCCCCACATACTTAGCACCTCTGCCTGGTGTGATCATTACTTTGCATGTGCAGCCTATCTACATTTATTGCATGAATAACCATGAGGTGCACAATAAATGTAATGTGAGGCAGGAGCCTTATAACTTTGCACCTGTGGCTGGTTTAAAGGTATCTCACCATTCTCTAGTTCATGGTGCGATCACTCTTTTGCACCTGTGGCCCCTCTACATATATTGTGGGATTCATCCATCATAGCGTGATAAATGTAATAGGTGGCAGGTCCCTTATAGCTTTGTCTCTCTGCCTGGTCTAAAGGTATTCCGCCATTCCCCAGGTCATGGTGCCATCACTCCTTTGGCCCCTCTATATTTATTGCGTGATTCCCCAGTTTGTGGTGTCATTGTTCCTTTGGCCCCTCTACATTTATTGCCCAATCCCCCACTTCATGATGCAATGGCTTCTTTGGCCCCCTACGTTTATGATGTGCGAGTCCACATTTCACGGTGTGATTGGTCCTTTGGCTCCTTTACATTTATTGCACAATTTCCTGGTTCGTGGTGTGAACACCCCTTTGACCCTGTGACCCATTTACATGTATTGCAGGACCCCCGCCCCCCCCCAGTGCCATTGCTCCTTTGCCCCTGTGGCCTATCTACATGCATCACCTGTGGACGGTGTAATAAATGTAATGTGTGACAGGGGCAGGGCTGGCGAATCCCTGCTCTTGTGAGGACAGGCGCGGCTCCAAGCTGGGCTGCGGGGACACCAAGGACTACATCAGCATGGAGGGGTGCTGCCCGGGCCCGCAGGTGCAGCTAGGGCAGATGCCTGGGTGCCCATTTCGTGGCTCCAGAAGACAAGCAGGGTCTCGGGAGCAAGTGCCCTGAGCAGCCGCAGCCCGCCCCCTTTCCAGCCCTGCAGCCACACACATCCCCCCTCCGCACACATACACAACACACACCACACTCCTTCCAGGAAGAGCACACACCAACTGCTGAAGCTTCCTGAGCCTGACGAAGGGTTTTTGAACCCGAAAGCTTGCTTAATAACTATTCTCCAACCATTTGGGTTGGTCTAATAAAAGATATTAAATTCACCCAAGGAACCTTGTCTGCCTATGTCCTTAGACCAACACGGCTACAACCTAAACCCCTACCACACTCCCTCCACACCCACACAACCACACTCCCTCTGCACACGTGCACAGCCACACTCCCTCCACACACGGGCAGCACACACCGCACTCCCTCCAGACGTGCACAACACGCACAACCACACTCCCTACGCTGCGGCACCCGGGGCGAGGTGGGGCGGTAGGAAAGGCCGGGCCTGGGCATGAATCACCCTCGCGCTCCGCTTCCCTTCCCCCGGCCCTGCCCTTAAGAGCCAGCCGGGGCCTCCGCCCGCGAGTGCTTGTCGGGGCAGCCAAGAGCTGCGAGCGTTTCCTCGCCCCGCTCCGTGCCGTGCCGTGCCGCGCCGCGCCGCGCCCAGCAACCAGCTGCCGCCGCCTTCTGCCGCCCCGGCCCCGGCCCCTACCCCTGCTCGCAGCCACCATGCCCAAGCCGGTGAGTGCCTGCTTTGTGTCCTAGCCCCCGGCCTGCTTCTGCTCCTGCCTGCCGGGCAGGGCTGTGGCACTGGAGACCTCCGCGTTTGAGACCCCGCGTTTGGGGCTTTTTGGATACACCCTCCGCTAAGCCTGTGTCGTCCTCCAGCTCGAAAGTTAGCGCTGGGAAATGTGCTTTCTTTCTTTTGCCGCGCGCTTCTTTTCTTTTTCCACGTCGAGGTGCGTGCCGGTTGTACCGTGATGCGTGAGCCCCCTCCTGGGCTTTCGGCTAAGCCATTTTTATAGGAATAGTTGTAAATGATACTTGCTCTGCACTAAGCCGGTCTGGCAAGCAAGGGATAAGCCCTGGGAGAGAAGGAGTTGCGTGTTCCTGACCGGTAAGTAAAATGGCACTTGCCTGGTTCAGCTCTTGGGGCTAGAGTCTGTGCCTGGGCTGCCAAACCTCCGAGATGGCTCTTCAAGCCTGTCACGAAGCAGTAGGCGTAGGCGCTCCCAGGAGCATCCCTCTTGTGTGGCACGGGAAAAGAGAAGCTATAAGCTGGGGACAGAAACATGACTGAGGCTCCATCTAAGGTGTGGGGGTGGGGGGTGTGAACAGAAAGGTGACACGTTCAGTCTTAGTTGCTCCCCTTACATGCCTGTCTGTGTGTAAAGAGGAGCAACTTTCAGACTGAGCCTCAGTCACTTTGCATGCGCACACATACACACCTTAGACTGAGCCTCAGTCACCTTTATGTGCGCGTGCGCACACACACGTATGTGTGCGTACAGAAAGATAACTGAGGCTCGGTCCAAGTGGGTGGGTAGGTGGGTGGGTGTGTGTAGTGAGAAAGTGGGGCGGGGGGTTTTCAAAAGTTGCCTTCTGTTAAAAACCCGACCGAGGCAACCACTTATTCTTTCTGCAAGCACCGAATGAAACTTTCATGCGCATACTTAGCATTCAGCGTATAGGTCGCTTCTAGGACAAACACATCTGGGACCTCATTTTGAAAGGCATTGGACACCCGCACCTCCATCTAAGCTCAATGGGAACTGTACAGGCCTTGTACCACTAAAACTCGGGTCTCTTCTGGATTGCAGGACTGTCATCAGTTGCTCTTTAGATTAGAAAAAAAGTTCATTTTTAAAAGAAGAAAAGGTCAAATAATGCATTTCCTGTTATATTCTAAAATGCTTATAGGTTGATAGGAAGGTATTGAATAATTGAAAAAGGAGGGATGTTATTACACTCCCAAATCTAACTTCTACAGTTAATGCTATCTAAGATGATAAAGCTGCAACTAATTATTAATTTATCTTGTCTCCCAATATAAAAGGAAGAGTACTTGGTCAAACAGTTGGCAGGAAGCATTATTGCATTTAAGGAGCCTGATCTGAGATTTTTCCTTCAAAGAAGTCAGAGGCAGAATTGCTCCCCTAAGCAAGCCTGGTCTGCTTTATCTTCCATGCTGTTGCATTCATTTTTATAAACGTTATCCTGGAAAATGTGTTATTATTTGTGAACTTCCATACTATCAGCAGTCACTTGCTTAAAGGAGCAAGAGCAGTGATTCCCAACCAGGGTGCTGCAGCACCCTGAGGTGCCTCAATAACCTTTTGTGGGTGCCACGGGGTGCTACACAATGGTAGCAGTGTTAGGTGTGTAAATATGATTCACAGTATAAACCCAAATGGAAATCCATAGTGTTTAAAAACATTCTGACCTGTTGTGGCTTTTTTAAGGTCTTTGCAACAGAAGAATTTCTCTTTTTCTATCGTTTGAATATTGAGTGAAAACTAACAGCTGACATTTTTTTCTAAGGGGTGCCTTGAATCCAAGATGGTTGAGAACCAGTGGTCTAGAGGTCTGAATCAAAGCTTGAGTTCAGTGAGATTTGGATCAGGTCCTTCCAATAACTGGCCATGGGAACACATTGCTAACTGTGAAGGACAAAGTCAGCGTGGATGCCTGTTGCTGCATATCTTCAATAGAGGCTTGTCATCAATTTACCTTTTAGAAATGCAGTGGAACAGCTGTGGCAAGTTAGTCCTTTTTTTCGCTGTTGCTCTGACTTGGCAAAAAAATGGCTGGTCAGATTTTATTTTCTGATAAGCAGCCACCATCATTCAACCCAACATAGCAGCAGTGTGTTGCAATTACATTTTTAGTGACAGATATGCTATTGCTCAAGGTTAACCATGGATGTATATGTATGTTGTTAAAAAATGATTGTTTACTAGTACACTAATTTCACTGAATGTTTCTGTGAGGGGAGGAAACACCCTGTTCTATTGAAGACATGGAGCAGTGTCAATTTACCAAGTCTTTCTTGCAGAACCTCTCCTCCACGCCCCCCAGATCTTCTTGAATTTTCCCAGTAAATTGTATTGGCAGTTTTACCTAGTTCACAGTCTGCATAACAGGAATATATTTTCTCAGTCAGGTGTTGAGAGAGCTTTAGAGTTAATCCATTCTGTCCTCTTTCTCATTCCTTGTTATTTCTTCAATTTGCAGGCTGTTTTTGGTACATGATATAAAAACGATATAGCTTGCCTTGAAAGTGCGGGGGGTTTTTTGTTTTGTTTTGCTTTTTGAATAAAACCCCCAAAAAAACACACCTGCAGAGGAGTAGCATGTAAACTTATATAGTTTACCCAAAGTGGCTTTGGGGAACAAAGTTTATGAAGTCGCACAGTCAGAATAATCTGAACTGCAGGGCTTTGATTAATTTATGCTGAAAGCCAGTGATGCTTGTGGACAGATTTTTTTTTTTTTTTTTTTTTTAATCTAATCAACAAAAGCTGCTTACAACCATGTTCTTAATTTTATGTGGGCTGAGCAGGTCAACAGATACTGGAGTGCTCCCTGACAGAGACTGATGTTCTTTTCTTGCTGGCTACAAAGTGAATGCTGAAGGGCCAGAACAGTGAGAGGTGTGTGTGTCAATAACAGGGGCAGGGCAACCACCACCTCCTTCGAGATGATGATCATTTCTGAGCCACGTGATCTATTCACTGGGATTTAGGGACACGACTCCATGACAGCACCTTCTGTTAAAGTAAACCCAGGCTTCATAATCGGCACTTAATCTGCTCTTCAGCAGATCCAACTCGCATGTTTACTGGAAAAGAAAGAGTGAATTTTATGAGCATTACTTTAATAAGGTATCCAGGTTTTAGCTGTATTTACTCTAGAGGCAAAGGGAATCAGAACTCATGGTAGAGGTGATATCTATCTTCTATTAGACCAACTAGATTTTTGCAAAAATCTTTAGAAAAATCTAATTGGTCTAATAAAGATATCACCTCTACCATGAGTTCTGATTCCCTTTACTAATTTAAGAAAGCATGTCACTCAGTCTGCTGGTTCCAAATTATGGAGGATTAGTTTGGATTCTTCCCGGTTTTGCCCCATGTGTTCTCTAATATCATTAAAGATTGTCTCTGTCAGGTTGCAGGGCATTATGGGATAATAAGTAAAGCTGTCACTTCAGAGCTGGGAATGCATTGTGAAGATCAGAAAAGGCTGTGGCCTGCAAGCTTAGCGTCTCAAGTTTGCCCAGCTAGTTAGAAGGTTGGCATCTGCTTAAATAGCTTGAGATGCCAAGTGCCAGTAATGTTGAGGGTTTTTGTTTTTAACAAATTTAGCTTGCAGATCATGATGTTTAGGGTTCCATTTTTGTCATTGTGTACATAAGAACTCACTGCTCAAAATCAGAAAATGAATGACCTTATGGCATGTGTATGTATTACACCCCGCTCTAGCCACCACTACTGAACTAAGTCAAGTGTAGCCCAATATTTTTGGCTATGTTTTTAAAAGAATTCTACTTAACCTGGTGATGCACATTTTAATTTTCCTGACATATTGGTAGTGTTACAGTGTTGGTGCTGCCATACTGATTTTAAATTAAACCAAAGCTGCTAATTGAGAAATCTTCATATTAATAATAAGCACAAAGCATAAGTGTTCTGAAGATGCAAACACTTCTAAATAAGATGTTCAGTATATAAAGTTTTTATACCCAATTTATGGTTTTGCTTTTTTCTTGAGGTGTGAGGGGTTGGGTTTTTGGAGTTGAGGAAGAGGTAGTTATCTGTCAATCAGCAACAAATCAAATGTAATTTCCTTCTTTTCTAGACAATGGTTTGCTAGGCTACACTGACACCAAATTCTGTTGTTTGAAAAACTATAAGTAGATGCCATGCTGCCCAGAGGGAGCTTAATTTAAATTAATCTTATACAGCATGTCTTAAACCCTAAGTACCAAATGAAAGTCAAAACTCAAAATGGTGCAGAAATCTTGGGGAGCTATTATGGAATTGTAGTGGTGTACAGCTGGCAGTTAAGGCTCCTGCCCTCCTCTTCTAGGTACAACATGAAATAAAGCAGGGAGAGTGTAATAGTGAAGGAGCATAGGAAGAAGTGATAGCAGAGTTGTAGGTAGAGTGTGGTGCTCCTCTGCCTGAAAAATGAGTTGCTTAGTGGAGGGCGCTGGGGGCTGACATTCCCATGGCATGGCAGCGGGATACACCTGAGTTTTGTATGCAATAATACTCTTGCACAGAGGCAGAAATAATTCAGTTGAGAGAACTAATACCCCTTAACAAATACTAAGAACAATTTGGCCATGTTCTGTTTTGGCTTCCTGCCCATAAACCCTGATGTCCTACTAGAAAGGCTTAACTTCTCTTCTCAAAGTTGAATAAATATATGACTTATTTGACAGATATAATCTATGTTTTTGGTAGCATGGTGTAAGTGCGATGACATTTCCCTCAAATGGATGTCGTATTGGAATTCACCATTTTTTCTTTCCTGTTCTTATAGACTTTTGCTGTGTTTTAATTTTCTTAACAAATTAATGACTATCAGTGTAGAGGTAGGTCTCTGTGACTGGAGAATAACAAATACAGTGCCTAGGTTCAGTGAAGAGGTAATTGGACACAAGGCACCTATGTACCACGTTAGTTTGATCTCATCACTATGCAGAGCTTTTGGTCAAATTTGGAAGGAAAGTG